CCTCTTTTCTTCCAAGTTTTGATCTTTCAAGAGAGGATAGAAAAGTTTGTAAGGGTTGTCTCCTAAGCCCGTCAAAAGGAGCGAAACTGTAAAAGGATGGTTGGCCTTCGCCTATTGAAGGAAGGCCTCTAGTGGACGTCGGTGACCTCATCGGAGGAGGAAGCCAAAAGTGGATGTAGGTTAAGATTGACCGAACCACTCTAAATCTCGGTTTGCATTTACTTTATCTTCTCTATCTTAACTGCCAACTGCCTCCATAGCTTTACTTTAACTGCAATTCGCCTAATCTTAGTTAAAGCAACTTCCGAATCGGTTTTCATATCGAAATCGCTTTTATCGTACAAACGTCGTATTTTGGTTTGCAATTACATTATATTCTCTATCTTAACTGCAAACTGCCTCTATATCTTTACTTTAACTGAATCTCGCTTGATTACAAGTTAAAATGATTTTCGAATCAGCTTTCTTACCAAAATCATTTTTATCGTACGAACGTCGTTGTAAATCGTCGAAAGTTTTCCGTTGCACTAATTCACACCCCCCCCCCCTCTTAGTGCTCTTGATCCTAACAAAAACCTTTGTTTATATTCCTTGGAGTTTGGGTCCAATTCCTTCACCTATAGTTCATGATGATCATGGGGGAGATTAACAAGAAGATTATGGTGAGAATGTAAGTGATGATACTCCTGCATTTGATGATGTTGAACCAACTGAATAAGCACCTCTACCACCAATTGAGATTCCATTGAGAAGATCCACTAGAAAGCGACAACCATCTACCAGATATCCTCCACATGAGTATGTTATGCTTACTAACGGGGGAGAGCTAGAAATTTACCAGAAAGCTATTCAACATTAACATAAGAATGAGTGGGTTAAAGTCATGCAAGAAGAGATGAGATCTTTGCATGAGAACCACACCTATGACTTGGTAAAGTTGCCTAAAGAGAAGAAAACTCTCAAGAATAAGTGGGTTTACAAGTTAAAGTCTGAAAATAATAGCTCACAACAAAGATACAAAGCATGACTAGTTGTGAAAGGATTCAGTCAGAAGAAATGTATTGATTTTGAAGAAATATTTTCTCTAGTTATGAAAATATCCTCTATCCGAGTTGTTCTTAGTTTAGCTGCCCGCTTGAATTTAGAAGTTGAGCAACTTGATGTGAAAACATTATTTTTTCATGGTGACTTAGAAAAAGAAATTTACTTGGAGCAACCAAAAGGTTTCAAAGTCAAGGGAAAAAAAAATCTGGTGTGTAAGTTTATGAAAAGCTTATATAGACTCAAACAGGCATCTAGACAGTGGTATAAGAAGTTTGATTCCTTTATGATGAGCCAAGGGTATGATAGAACCACATCTGATCATTGTGTGTTTATGAAGAAATTTTCAGATGATGATTTCATTATTCTCCTGCTATATGTTGATGATATGCTGATTGTTGACCATGATGCTGGTAAAATTGAAAAGCTTAAAAGAGAGCTAAGTCTTTTGCCATGAAAGACCTGAGATCGGTGAAACAAATACTTGGCGTGAAGATTTTTCGTGATAGGAAGTAAAGAAAGATTTGGCTATCTCAGGAAACCTACATTGAAAAGGTTTTTGAAAGATTCAACATGAGTAAAGCCAAAGCAGTTTGTTCTCCACTCGCAGGTCATTTCAAACTTAGTTCGAAACAATGTCCTACAAGTGAGAAAGAAAAAGAAGAAATGTCCAGAGTACCTTACTCGTCTACAGTAAGTAGTTTGATGTGTGCTATGGTTTATACTAGGCTAGATATAGCTCATGCAGTTGGAGTTGTCAGCCAATTTCTCTCTAATCCTAGAAAGGAATATTGGGCAATAGTGAAATGGATATTAAGATATCTAAGAGGTACTTTCAGGTTGTATTTATGTTTTGGTAGTGATGAACCTGTGTTAGAAGGGTACACAGATACAAACATTGCAGGTAATACTGATTCCAGAAAGTCCACTTCGGAATTCTTGATGACATTTGCAGGAGGAGCAGTCTCTTGGCAATCTAAGTTACAGAATGTGTTGTTCTATCAACCACAGAAGCATAATACTTCACAATTACTGAAGCTTGCAAGGAAGCTTTATAGATAAAATAGTTTCTATAGGAATTAGGCTTGAAACAGGAAGGATATACTATTTACTGTGATAGTCAGAGAGTCATTCACCTCTCCAAGAATTCAACATACCATTCCAGATCCAAGCATATTGATGTGAGATATCACTAGATTCATGATGTGCTTGAGTTAAAAGAATTACAGTTAGAAAATGTGCATACCAATGAGAATGGATAAGATATGTTGACTAAGTCTTTGCCGAAGGAGAAGCTTGAAGCATGTAGGCGAAGAGCGAGCTTGTACTGATAGAAATAATAGAAGATAAAAACAATAGAATATAAGAAGCTTTATTGAAGTAGAGAAACTTTAGCTTGAATACATAGAGAAATAGAGAGAGGATTTTCCTCACCATAATAGAGAGATTTCCTCATATAGTTGGGGAAATCTTATCTTCTATCATGCCCCCGCAAGATGGTGCTCTTGTCAAGGATACCAATCTTGGATCGATGCAAAGAATGATTTGAGCCAGAGTCTTCGTTGTTGTTGCTGTTATTGCGACTGCGATGACGACGACTGTAGTAGAGAAGAAAGTTACAATAATAGAAAAAGTTATAGCAATGCTGTAGCAGATGAATAAGCTACAATAAAGGAGGAAGTTGCAGCGATGTTGCAGCGATACTATAGCAGAGGAGGAAGCGACAGAAGAAGAGAAAGCTGCAACGATGCTACAAATGCTACAATAGAGAAGAAGGCTATAGCAAAGGAGGAAAGGTGAGGCAATGCTGGCTGGTGAGCATAGCACTAGAGACGCCATAGCGGAAGGGAAAGCGGTAGTAGAAGCAACAGATGATGAGTCGACAGCGAGAAGAGAGCTTGCTCTAGGCAAGTGGCTCTGATACCATGATAGAAAGAATAGAAGATAAAAATAATTATTGAAGAAGCTTTATTGGAGTAACTTTAGCTTAAATGCATTAGCATGTCCCTCTCCTATTTATAGGGATTAGGAGGGAGGATTTTCCTCAACAGAATAGATAAGATTTCCTCGTATAGTTGGGAAAATCTTATCTTCTATCATGCCCCCGTAAGATGGTGCTCCTGACAAGGATACTAATCTTAGATCGATGCAAAATATGGTTTACAAGCGAGAGGCTTCATGAGTAGGGCAAGAGCATATTGCTGCTGCTATTGTTGTTGCTATAGTTTTGACGATGATGGTTGCGGCTGCGATGGCAGCGGCTACGATTGCGACGGCGACGGCTGCGATTACGACGGCGGCGGTTGCGATTGTGATGCCAGCAGTTGCGGCTGCGACGGCTGCGATGGCAACGATTGCGGCTGCGACGGCTGCGATGGCGACGATTGTGGCTATGACGGCTGCGATGGCGACGATTGTGACTGCGACGGCTGCGATGGCGACGATTGTGGCTGCGACGGCTACGATGATGGCAGAGGAGAAATCTACAGTAATGTTGCAGTGATGCTACTAGAACAAAGGAGGAAGCTGCAATATAGGAGGAAGGTGCAGTAGAGGAGGAAGCTGCAGCAAAGGTGCAGCAGAGGAGGAAGCTGCAGCAAAAGAGGTAGGAGGTAGCTACAACAAGGAAGAAAGGTGGGGCAATGCTGGTGAGCACAGCACTAGAGACGCCGCAGATGAAGGGAACATACGTTGGCACAGAGTGGCAGTGGAGAAGACAATTGCCGTTCGCCGAAGAGGAAAGATTTGTCGCACCGATGGGTTGACGATGGAAAAGCAATGGTAGAAAGCTTTTTCTTTTGCCATCAGAGATGGAGAAGCAACAGTGATAAGTCGACAGCGAGAAGAGAGAAGGGAGCTTGTTCTAGGCAAGCAGCTCTGATACCATAATAGAAATAATAGAAGATAAAAATAATAGAATATAAGAAGCTTTATTGAAATAGAGAAACTTTAGCTTGAATACATAGAGAAATAGAGAGAGGATTTTCCTCAACATAATAGAGAGATTTCTTCATATAGTTAGGGAAATCTTATCTTCTATCAGGTACAACCCACCATATGAGCTGGAGGGGAAGAATTATTGGGTCCAGCCCATATGTGGGCTTGGACAATTTGGGTTATAAGCCCAAATTAGAAATTAAAGGCAAAAAGAATAGGGCAACGATGTGTGGCTGTATGAGAGAGAGAGCAGTGAGCGTGCGTAGCGAGCAGCTCACAGAGAGAGAGAGAAATATTAGGATCTTGAGTTTTCTGCTTGACGATCAGTGGCCAAACGTTGTCAGTTTGGGCCCAAATTTTATGCAGAGAATCCTTGTAGCAAGCTCTACAATTCTAATAGTGTTGATCTACAGTTTACCCTCTCTGAGATACTTTCCTACTATACCAACTTTGTGAGACCTAGAATTCTCTTATGATGAGATCAATCTATATGATGAAGATATGTTATTCTTGAGCCAAGATATATGATCTTGATGTTATTATGATCCTCTTGCTATTCTAGAGAAGATTTACTGTAAACATGTTATCATTATTATTGATAGTGAAAGTTTGAGATGGACTACGGTCCAATGATTTTTTCCACATTGGATTTTTCATGTTAAAAATTTGATCTCACTGTATGATTAATTTATTGTTCTATTGTTTATGCTATGTTGATTGATATTTGTATTTTGATATCAAGTTGATATTCTTAAGAGAAACCCATTTTGATCCACAAAGAGGGAAAAAATTTATTTCGCTTGAACATGTTTTTCCCAACATGAATCAATCATCAGACAAAGGTGAAATCAATTGAGCAAAAGACTAATTGGATTGAAATATCAGAATCAGTATATTCCAGGTTCTTTTGCACGATTCCTATTGTTCCTTTTCATTAACATCCGGTACAGAACAAGCAAGAGATGAAACTAAGATGGAACAGTTCAACAAAGCTAGAGGAAGGAAGACGAGAAAAGCAGTACCAGCCGGTCATCCATGAGGCGAAGGGCGCCCATTGCTTCCCTGAGAGCCTGGCGCTCCAGTAGTAGAGGCCGCCGGACGTGGGGTACGACGAGCAGATCTCCGCCATGGAGAGCCCCACGGACATGGTGAAGATCCCCGCCACGAACCAGCCGTAGGTCATGGTGACCGTCCCGCCGAACCGGAGGCCGGTGTTGTACAGTGTAGTGATGCCGGTGAGCACGGAGATGATGGAGAAGGAGAAGGCGAAGTTGGACAGCACTCTGCAAGGGAACAGGATGATGAACCAGGAACAACAAAGAAGGTAGGGAAAGCCAAGCCATGGCCGGAGTCGAGAAGGTTTACGAGAGATCACGCTTGAGTTCCTGCTTGTAGCCGAGCTGGTGCAGCCGGGCATGGCCGGAGTCGGCAGGAGTAGCGCTCCTGATGTCAATCCTGGCGGATCCATTACGCTCCCCCAACTCCTCTTCCTCCTCCTTCCAGGCCATCGCCATCTCTTGGGAAGGAGATATGGCAATCACCCAAGCAACTCCTTGCAGGCTGGAATCACGACCTTCGATCCAAGGCAACAACCACCCAGTTGACCGCGTGCAGTCTTCTTGCGCTGCGATGTGTAAGAGCCAATATTCAATTCGAGGGATGGTGGAGATACGGGAATCTTGATCCTCTAAAGATGGGAATGGCTAGCGAAAAAGGACATAAAAGTCGATGACTTTTACCAACATGTGAATGGTTGTGAAGCCGCAATCTACACGCACCGATTTAAACAAAAGATGGAGGAGACTTGTAAACTGGGGCTCATCGAGACCAATTCGATTCCACCAATTCAATGGTCATCATGCCAACACAAGGAATCCAAATCTTATACGACTCCTCCTCCTTAGGATCTTCTTAGTTATCACACATTCTTCCAAGTTATCTGGATAGGTAGGTGTCTTAGCTGGTCACTTTGGCATACCGTACTTGGAATTTACGGGTCCAAGTAGATTGCTTCCCAAGAAACATCAAGTGTCTCTTTAGCTAGAAGATCGATTATATATATATACAGTTTGTGTGGATGACAACCGGTCCGAGCAAGTTGATGCCGGAATCAAATTATTCCAATCTAATAGAATTTGTTACTTTAAAAGAGCCCCTCCTTGCCAACTTGAAATATCGTCAATACTGTACATACAGGTTTTGCTTCAATTTTTTTGATGTTATTAAATAGTAGAGCATATTTTTAGAGAAGCAAACTTAGCTGCCAACTGGATAGTCAGCCAGCCAGCTAACTGTTGAAAAATATAATAAAGAAGGATGAAAACAATATAGAAACAAATAATAAATACATGATCAACAATAGTATAGAAAATATATTTAGGCTTAAAAAATGTATAAAAATTTTCTTTAAAATGATATTTGCATCATCTTCTCAATAAAAATCTTTAAATAATGTCTAATCTTTAAAGAAAAATGATGTTGTTCATAATTTACACTTAAATACTTATTTATAGATATTTTCATAAAAAATAATGTTTGAAAAATAACTACAAAAGAAATCATTATTCAAATAACTCTTTTAAAAATAATTTTTTTAATTTAAATAATTTATAACAATCTTTCACTTGTTCAAATTTAAAAATTTTCTCTAAGTGATTAAATAGTATTTATGAATAAAGTAATATATCTTTCGATTTGAATATTACCTTAGTGGAAGTATCACAAAATGAAGTCGAAATCCTAAATAGCATAAAAGCTTTAAATTTTTTATTCCTAATGACAATATCGATGATACCACACACATAAATACAACATCCTTGTATTCCTCGTAAATTCTCGGTTAACCCTAATATGGCCTTAGGCTAATTCAAGTTCATAAACTTTTATGAGAGAAACTCCAACTCTCAATCGAAGCGGCACCACTTCTAAGTTCATATAGGTTAAGTTCTTATCATATCTTTATCACTCTTTGAGATACTTATCATAACTTGATTGAACTTTATTAAGAGTATAATTAACCTAACCCTCATTCAGTGATAACCAGCATTTTAACATTTTTAGATAGGACTAGTAAAATATTTCAAAGTATTGAACCACTCTATATGTCAATGACTTATTCTTACCATTTGAACTCTTCATTACTCATTTTATAATGTTGAGTAGAGTTGCTATCATTAGTGGATCTTTTCTTCAAGGAGTTTCAGTCTCATCCATTTTGATGTTGATCTTACAACTTCTCTTGTAAGACATTTGGTGAACGGATCATCCAAATTCTCACTTGTTTTCACAACTGTGAGTAAAATAATCCGACTCTTGATTAATTTCCTCACATATGTTAGGATCAGGGTCGGCACTAAGAGGGGGGGTGAATTAGTGCAGCAGTAAAATCACGTCTCGATTAAAACTTTCGTACGATAAAACTATTTTCGACGTAAAATCGTTTTCAAAAACTTAACTTAAATTGAAAGCATACGGAAGTGTAGTTGATGTAAAGCAATGGAGGCAGTTTGCAGTTAAGATAAATAGCAGAAAGTAAATGCAAACCGAGATTTAGAGTGGTTCGGTCAATCTTGACCTACATCCACTTTTGGCTTCCTCCTCCAACGAGGTCACCGACGTCCACTAGAGGTCTTCCTTCAATAGGCGAAGGCCAATCATCTTTTACACCCCTCTTCTCCTTTTATTGGGTTTAGGAGATAACCCTTACAAGCACTCACACTCCTCTCTTACAGAAATCTAACACTCAGAGTAGATGAGGGAATTCTAAAGAGATTGTAACAGCGTTTCTTTACTTTTAGACTCTCTGTGCTTGTGTGTTTTAACTAGGGATGAGAGGGGTATTTATAGGCTTCAAGTTGATTCAAACTTGAAGCCTAAAAACATCTCATCCTAGGTTCCTCGGGCACGGGCAATACCACCGCCTACATTGGGCGGTACCACCGCCCAGTGTTAGTCTGGCTGACATTGCCCTGGGCAGTACCACTACCCAAATCTGGCAGTACCACTGCCTAGGGGGCAGTGCTGGGCGGTACCATCACCTAGACTGGCGGTACCACCGCTTGACATAGTCTCGAAGATTATGCCACGACGGTGAGGCTTCTTGGGGCATTGTTTGGGCTTCTTATTGGGCCCAACACAATTCTTACATGAGCCTAATTGGCTCGTAATTAAGTTGGCCCAATCCAAGCCCAATTACGTGCTAACTACAATTCTTAAGACATATTCTAAGCTAAACAAAGTCCGTAAGTCTATTCTTCTAGCGAGATTCCGACGATATCTCTACAATGTTCCGGCGGACTCCCGGCAAGCTCCTGGACTTCATGATAATCTTCTTGGTGAGTTTCAACAAGCTTCTCTGGCAAGCTCCGAGACTTCTCAACTGGTTCCTCCAGAACTTCCGATGAACGTTCGGACTTTCGACGAACTCTCGAACTCCTAACGTAATTGCGTCCTTGACTCCGGGACTTCATTTTGCTTCATGCCTTGCTATCATAGTTAATCCTGCATATGTAAAACAAACTTCAATCTAGACAATTAATACTAAGCATTAATCAAGTTGTCCAGCATGTCATTAGTCTCTCAACGCTTCATCCGATTCTTTGGCACATCGTTCTCTCTTGTAGCCTATTGCCCAATCGGCCAGTTGACTCTGCAACTCCGATATCGTTGGCGCAATGTCCACTCTTCTTGGCCCGAAGCCTTCTGTCGATACGTCGACCGATCCACCGGTCTAACATCCAATCTTCTGACATATTCCTCCAGTACAATATGATTTTTCCTGCTTTAATTGTCTCATCCTGATCGAAGCATCCTACGTCACTCAAAACATAGATTAAAATATAAATAATTATTAATTGATTTCATCATCAAAATATGAGATTCAACAACATAATCATGTTTAAGACTTATGTGTCTTGATTTTTCATTATATATTTCATTATACACATGAGCTAAAGTGGCTTGACTATCATAAAGTATAGAAATTGAATTCATACTCTTAAACATCAATAAAATTTCTAATAAAAAGTCCCTCAATCATTCAGTCTCCTTTCTTGCTTCTGCTAGAACAACAAATTCAAATTCCATAGTTAAGCGAGTTATACACATTTGTTTCTTATTTTTCCAAGAAACAATGTCACTTCCCAATGTGAACACCCAAATAGTAATGGATTTGTTATCTTCAAAACTCGATATCCAACTTACTCAGTATATTCTTCTAAAATAGTAAGAAATTTTGAGTATTATAGGCCATAATCTTTTGCCCATTTAAGGTACCCAATAACTCTTTCAATAGTCTTCCAATGGTCTATATTTGGATTGCTAGTAAATCTACTCAATTTACTAACTGTAAATGCTATATCAGGTTTTTATGCATTGAGTTGCATATATAAAACTTCCTATAGCACTTGAATATTCTAATTGAGCTACTGTTTTTCTAATATTTTTAACTAATTTGATACTTGCGTCAAACGGGGTATTTACTTTTTTGATTTTTAAATGACTGAATTTTTCAAGACTTTCTCTATGTAATGAGTTTGACTCAAAACATATCCTCTATTATTTCTTTTTACCTTGATACTAGTATGGTATCAACTTGCCCAAGATCTTTAATCTTAAATGTTGAAAATAGAAACATCTTTGTTTCTACAATACCTTTCATGTTGTTGCTCACTATTAGCATAACATCAACATAAAAGGCAAACTATCACTATATAGCAATCACAAGTTTTAAGATAAACATATTTATCCACAACATTGTAAATAAATCCATTAGAAAGAATTGTTGCATCAAATTTCTCATGTCACTATTTTGGAGCCTGCTTTAAACCATATAATGACTTAATAAGTTTACACACTTTATATTCATTCCCGATAAAAAAAAAAACCTTCGAGTTGTCCCATATATACCTTCTCGAGGTCTCCATTTAGAAATATCATTTTGACATGCATTTAATGAACATAAAGATATAAAATTAATTCTAATAGATGTGATCCTAGCTATAGTAACATATATGTCAAAGTAATCTATTCCTTCCTTTTGTCGAAATCTATGATATTTCCTAAGAAATTCTCATTTACAACTAATAGATTTAGAAGCAAAAGGTAAATCGATAAGTTCTCAAATGTAGTTTGACATAATATAATCCATCTCATCATTAATAGCATCTTTCCAGAAAGCAGCATCACAAGAGACCATAGCTTCTTTAAACATTTTAAGATCATCTTTCACTTATAAAATAGGAATTGTTATTAAGACTCTAAGTAGTTTCTTCTATAAGGTAAAAGAAAATAAATCAATATCATCTGATATTAATGTTTTTGCTTTCTATACACAAGTGCTTTTCCTTAATTCATGATATTGCTCTTTAATCTCTTATGAACTTGATTGATGTCCAATCAAATGAATATTAGGTTACGCACCAACCTTTTGAGATGTCTCCATCGGTGATTCTTCACTAGTTAGAGGATAAACATTATTACTTGAAGTCAGTAATGTTGAATCTCGTATTTTGATGATGAAACTA